ATTGTAGTGGCATTAAGTGCGTATTAGCGTATGTTGCACATCTTTTACCCCCTCGGGAATAAAAAGGCGTGATGTTATGATTATGAAATTAGAATATAGAACGTAATTTGTGTGAACTATCCCTTAAGGACAATAAATAATGCAGTCTATATATAGGTTTTATTTGTTATTTTCCATTTCGACCTTTTTGACTGGATTTTAGTGTTAAATTGTTCTCGCACAATCCAAACAACAAAACTAAGTAACTAGAGAATTGTATTGTGAACCTGATTGTAAAAGAGTAACCTATGGAGTTTCTTGCTCGTTCTTCTACATAGGAATCTACACCTTGGAATGAGCAAATATCTTCACTTTTAATTTGTTGTTGACGTTAAAAAGTGCCTTTCTGGTCTAATTGATAAATGATTTTGACTTTGACTTATCTTATACTATATATAAAGTATATTATATATAAAGCGGAAGAGTTTGTTTTTTTGTTTGTTTGTTTGAACGCGCTAATCTCCGTAACTACAAGTCTGATTTGAATAATTCTTCTTGTGTTGGATAGCACATTTATCGAGGATGGCATAGGCTATAAAACATCCAATAGGAGCTGAGCAGAGCGTGTGAAACCGCGCAGAAGTAGCTAGTCTGTGATATAATTTTATCGACTATTTATACATAATGAAGGTCATGAAACAGGCGCTTATAGATGTAAGTCTTTGACAATGTGTACTTGCCACTTTTTCACAATAAAAACCACTGAACGGATTTTGATACTTGGCAACGGAGATAGATGATCATAGTCTGAAATATTTCGGAGGCTACTTGGTAGTAACGCGAGCAAAGTTGCTAGTAAAAGCTAGTTATTTGACAAAAAGTCAGACACAAGTTAAAAAATTTCTCCGGAGAACCTCTCGACGTGTAGGAGAAGTAACGGGGTGGTTTTTAGTCAGTAAGAGTCTGACACTCCCCCTCCCCGCCTCACCCAGGCGGGAAAAGACATTTTTGATGATTCTCCCCGCTTAAAAAAAAAAAAAATAAAAAAATCGACTGACATTGCAACGATATTGAAATCAGTTGACAGATTAAATTAACAATGTTAATGTAAATAGTACGTTCACATTGACATTATTTATTTAAATAATCCTTTTTTTATGTACTTATATACTTATCGTTATCATTTATAATCTTACTAATATTGTAAAAGTGCAAGTTTGTCAGTTTGTCTGTAGGTTTGTTACTCAATCACGTCAAAAACGGCTGAAGTGATCGGGATGACATTCGGAACAGGGGTAGATTATGGTCTTTTTTGAGGGGCGAAAATCATCGAATGACTTCTCCCGTCTGGGTGAGGCGAAAGGGAGTGTTAAATTCTTACTGACTAAAAACCACCCCGTTCGTACTCCTGCTCTTCGAGCCGGAGCCCCAGCAACCCGTTAAGACCTTCGCAGCTCCGCATCAGCCTTACTGGGCCCCATCTGTGGTTGCCTGATCACTCTTAGAGGCGCGCGCGGAACGCGACGTTCCGTACTTACGGGTCTGGTTCTGGTCGGGCGGCGAGCTACGCTTGCTCGTCGTCCGCAGACCCACACTTACGGTGGCCGGAGATCGTCCCGCGGAGCACAGTCCAAGCTGGTAACTTGGACCATGCTCCCGCTACCGATCAGCTCCTATTTTGTTAAAAATAATAACAGTATCTTAACATACCTATTAGTTCTGGTTAACAAATTCCAGCTCCTCAACTCCTCGGCTTCGAAGACGGACGTGACCTGGTCCTCGATGATGGACTCCATGCCAGCCTTCACCAGGTCCAGACAATTTGAGAGGTCGAACTCCATATTACTCTGGAAAAAGCAGCATAGAGATTATAACCACCAGCACATCATCAACCTATAAGTAGTTACTGCTGGGCAAAGGTCTCTTCTCATAAGAAGGAATGAGCACTAATCACCACGCTTGATCAATGAGGGTTGACAATACGGTAGATTCCTAAATTTTATTTCAATGTCCGTCTGGTACATTAATTTAAAACTTTAGACACGTATTTTTTCGTTTCTCACAAAATTAAATACTTTTGACGATATATTAATTTGAAATATCGTATGACGTCACAGCGTGGCACATTTTGTAGCACGTTATGACGTAACGACCTCCCACTCCTAAACCTAACGCCATTTTACCTAAGTATTGCAACTTAATACGAGAAAATGAAAAAAATACGTGTGTAATATTTTTTCATTATCTGACTAACGTACTAATTAGATTTTTAATTTTGATGCCCTGGAAACTACTCAATTTCAAATCTCCTTAGTCCCATCGTCGGCGGTGTGCTCGTGATTGAAGCGCAAACACTCCGAAACTACTGGATCGATTCGAAAAATTCTTTTTGTGTTGCGTAGTCCATTTATCGAGGAATAGAATAGAATAATAATTTATTTGCTCAGAATGCAGGTATTTACAATAACCTTTCTAACGTCCGGTCTGCGCGACCGTTTGTCTCTGTACCGTCTACCCGCACGTGCACCCCCGAACCGTGCGCAATGACGCACTTCGGCGTAAAACCGTAACGGCTAGGACAATGAAAAAAATACGAAAAAAAAAAGATCTACGAACGAATTATTTCATCAGCTGTATAGATAATCTGTCAAAACTCACCAAACAATACCGTATTTTAAACTAGATGGAGTTAAACACAACTCGTCGCCTTGGATACTAGAGGTATAGTATCTGTGGGCTTTACTTTTTTTTGGATACCGTACTATTCATGGACGTCAGAGTGGCTAAAGTGATATTAAAACACTAATAAGACATACTTGTACATTCTACCATCTGCAGGTTCATCATCAGACATATTATGACAAAGTTACAATTTATCAGACACAGAGTAATAACATTTGTTTAACAAGAGTGTTGTAAGTTTCTATTTAATAGGCATGGCGACGATTTTTTAATTTTTTGTCCGTCTTTTAGATATTTTAAAAATCTTCGATACGTATTTTTTCTTTTTTCTCGTATCCAAAAAAACATGTAGATATTTTGAGTTAAAATGACGCGTGACGTCACACTTAGGTACGATTTCTCCGTAAGTGTGACGTCAACACCCCCCACTCCCTAACTTTAATGCAGAATAACTACGTATTCTTCTGTTAATTTGATAAAACAAAAAATACGTGTCTGATATTTTCGTGCGATCTTAATGACGGACTAATTACTTTTTTGATTTTTTTACCCTGTCGACACGCCTATTGTCATTGGTTCTTTTTTTATTGAAGGAGGGAAGGCTAAAGGATATGATACATTCCGCTACGATCGATAGGCGCGGAACAGAAAGGGTGAAACTGTGGAATTAGCCAGTCAAAAATATAATTAACGACAATAATCAGTTGACTGGACAATTTCTATATGGTCTTAGTGCACTGACCAGCTCAAAGAGGCGAGACGTAGATAAGATATGTAAAATGATAAGGCAACTGCGTTTGATAACAGAATAAGGTACAATACGAATCTAGATGCAACTGTTTCTATGTTGATAACAATGATAATAAGAAGTGCAATGTTGATTATAATTGGATTTAATTAATAATAACTGCAACTCCTGTACACCAGGATCTACAGTAGATACAACCATGAAAACACCGGAACACTGAAGTCCAACGTCCCAGGGACATGAATAATACCGTCCGGTTTGCGCAATGGCTGGGCAGCTGGTTGCCGCGCAGTGTCGCGGGTTCGATTCCCACACGGAACAACTCTTTGTGTGATCCACAAACTGTTGTTTCGGGTCTGGGTGTCATATGTATTGTAAACGCACCCACGACACAGGAGAAAATCCTTAAAAAAACTGACTTGGATTCCGCAACGAAAAAATTAATCAGAAGATCAGAAGAAGATAAGAGGAGAAAAAAACGATAGTTTCCCCGGTTCCACCACTTCCCTCGGTGAATTACTGCAGGAGCCAGAATGAATTAAGTCTAAAGGCACAAAAAGAGACTGTACAACTGTTAGAAGCCAAGCCGGCAACGTCGTTTCAAAGAAAAAAAATCTCTTGCCCTAAGAGGCCGGTAACGTATAAACGCACCAGTGTATGGTGCAAATAATTTGATTTTCTTTGGTGTTACTGGTGTCCATGGGCGGCGCTAATCGCTTACTTTTTGGATGACTGCTCGTTTGCTCCGAAAAAAACAACATGTTTTTTACGACAAAATAATAATATTTATGAAGGTTTGGACAATAGAGAACCGATTTTGTATTCACCAAATTCAGGGTCCTAAAAAGACCCCCGAAACAAGACTATAACCTAGTTTTTTATTTATATTTGACTAGCGACCCGCGCCGGCTTCGCACGGGTGCAATATGCATGTTTTATACATATAAACGTCCCTTAACAATCACTCTATCTATTAAAAAAAATCGCAACAAAATCCGTTGGGTAGTTTTAAAGATCTAGGCATACATAGGGACAGACGGCGCATAATGACTTTGTTTTATACTATGTACTGATAATGATGAGCAGTATTGGACCACTATCTCGCCTGATGGTAAGCGATGATGCGGCCTACGATGGTTAGTTTTTTTAAAGTCAAGAATACAAAGGACCTCTCACCTCTCCATTTCCCTGTGTGGTTTTCGGTCCATTCTGCACCCGTTCCTGGCTCGTGCTTCGTTTATAATTCAATTCTGGCGAAGGACCGAGGATCTCTTGCCGTTCTATCACCGTCATCTTTGTACCTGGTGGAAGAAAGAGAAATAGGTTACAGAAGGATTTCTTTTAAGGGGGAAAATCATCGAAGGACTGTTCCCGCCTGGGTGAAGCGGAAGGGAGTGTCAGACTCTTACTGACTAAAAACCACCCCATTCCTTCTTCTGCACGTCGAGTCGGAGCCCCGGTAACCCGTTAGGTTCTCCGCGACAGGTTAGAGAAGGAGTGGATGGTGTATTTTAACTGCGACGTAATCCCTGAGGCAAACTAGACAAGTGCCAGGCGCCAGGTTACAGAGGGGCGCTGCGAGACGCGCGTGCACAACTGACCATAGATTGACAGTGGCGCCAAAAAAAATACGAGGCGTCTATGAAGTGATCTAGGGTGCTTTCTAGGTTTAATTGCCGCCTCAGAGATGCACATGTCTATACTAATATACCTCTATAAAGCCGGTAGAAAAAAATGTGTTAGTTCCTTTACTGAGAAAAGTGGAATCTTCTCACTCGGGTCACCCAAGAAAAGAGACTGGGTTTTTTTTTTATTTATTTTTTTTAAGGGGGGAAAATCGTCGAATGACTGCTCCCGCCTGGGTGAGGCGGGAGGGAGTGTCAGACTCTTACTGACTAAAAACCACCCCGTTCCTTCTCCTGCACGTCGAGCCGGAGCCCCGGTTACCCGTTAGGTTCTCCGCGACAAAAGAGACTGGGTAGGAATTCCTCAACGGTTCTAACTAAATGTGTCCGAGAGCCATGTTTCTGCATTGCTAGGCCAGCTCGCCCGGAGTGATACCACGGCCGAGCAGAAAACCATAGCGAAATCACGCTTGTGTTGTGTTTCGTCGTGTGAGTGATGTTACCGGAGACCCAATTACCCCCTCTCCCTTCCCCAATCTTCCTAATCCCTGAAACCAACAATCCTAATTCCTAATCCCCACTAGGTAGGTGACGCACTTGCAACGCCTACGTGTTCCAGTTGTCCATGGGCGACGCCCATTGCTTACCATCAGGTGATTCGTCTGCTCGTTTACTGACGCATAAAAAAATACTTTGTCTACCAATAGGGCAGCAACAGGCTTATACAACAATAACGCATAGACTAAAATAGCATAAATGGTTACAAATTGCATACATTTTACGTAAACTATGATATGATGCAACTGGACACTTTCAAAGACATCAACAGTAATTGTGTTGCAAATGACTCCGTAGTGAAGACACGACTATACAATCGCATACTAGATATAATATGTACAAGTATCATGTATTCACTTGATTTTTTTTAAGACATAGACAAAGAGAGTCAAAATGAGAGGTTTCGCAGGTGGTCCGCAACGCATTCGTTCGGAAATCTCTCGAAATTTTTTTATTTTTATGGCGTAAGCCGGTAAACGAGCAGACGGATCACCTGTTGGTAAGCAATCGGCGTCGCCCATGGACACCTGGAACACCAGAGGCGTTATAAGTGCGTTACCGGCCTTTTGGGAATTAGGAGTTTGCGGATCGTTGGGGATTCAGGGATTGGGGAGATTGGGGAAGGGGAGAGTAATTAGGCCTCCGGTAACCACACGCACACGACGCAAGCGTTGCTTCACGTCAGTTTTCTGCTCGACCGTGGTATCACTCCGGTCGAGCCGGCCCATTCGTGCCGAAGCATGGCTCTCCCACGCTTGCAAGCAACATATAAAGACTGTTGACAGTTTTGATTGATGTTATGCAAGACGCAAGCATGCGTTGTAATCGTTAATTGACGAAGGCGTGCGCATGATATATGGTTACGTGGACAATCGGCTCCGGTGTTCTATAAGGCCATGGTATCACTCCGGTCGAGTCGATACAGAAGTGCCGAAGCATGGCTCTACCACGGAAACCTCTTGTGTTGTAGGTGTATTTAGGCTCCAGTTTCTTGTTTAATATCAGGTTAACCACAACTAGAGCTGTCTTAGACTATGCTTTTGAGCAGAACATAATTCAGGGCCCTTTCAAAGTGTTTTTTTTTAACCTTGTCCCACACTAGGATTTTCTCCTGTATCGTGGGTGCGTTTACAAACATACAAGTTCACATACACATCACACCCAGACCAGAAATAACAGTTTGTGTAGCACACAAAGATTTGCTCCGTGCGATATATGTTCATCGTAGAAACTGTCCACCCCTCGGAGCCCACTGAGGATGGGGGGCTCTGGGCACGGCAAGGGCCCTTATGATAAAGACTACTGACTTATGCTTGGTGGTACCAACAGCAGTGCAAAAACACGCGTCGCAGCGTGATATTTACATAAATAGATAGCCTAACTCTTTAGTAAGGTTATCAAGGCGTTAGGCATTTTTAATTTCACTAACAGTTTTAGAGATGAGTGTAACAATAATAATAAATAACGAGCGATAACTATTAACTATATAAATTGAATGATATTATTTAGAATTATTGTCTTGAATTGTAAAATGTGTAAAACTTTTGCATGCCTTATAATTGGCAAAATATGGCTGTTTCTGTATTATTATGCACTACCATGATATGTTACCCATATTTGCGAAATAAAATATCTATAGTAATATAATACATAATTTAATACTTTAATTCTAATGTAGACAATCTAGTTTCCTTATGGCATCGAGCATTTCTTTCTTTATTGAAACAAAGAGTTTCCTTTTTCTTGTATAGAAGCACTATTTCTATGGATTGTCAGTATGCATATGTGAGCACCATGTTAGACTTAAGATTTTTTATTTTTTTTATTTTAGTAAGTTATTAGTATAATGCGTCAAGCGTGTCTTTGCATTGTTCTTACATATGCGTACAGTATTGAAATATGTATCAGAGACATTGTAGAACATACTTTTTTAAAAGAGTAACGAATGGAGTTTCTTGATCGTTCTTCTCCATTCGAATCTACGTTTTGGAATGAGCACCTAGCTTCACCTAGCTTCACTGACGGACTGACTGACAGACTATTATTTATTTTGTATTTGTTGACGTTTCAAAAGTACCAAACTATGGTTTAATTGAAATAAATGCTTTGACTTTGACTTTATCTTTATCTTTTATAACTTTAATGCCGCGTTGTGAACATGACAGCAGAGTAGAATACATTTATATAGGTTTCTACCTTGCCCATAGCATAAGCCGTTAACGAGCAGACGGATCACGTGATGGTAAGCAATCGGCGCCGCCCATGGACACCCACAACATTAGAGCCTTATTTTTTTGTTGAGGGGAAACCTTCAAAAAGCGCCTAGCTTTTTGGGGAAAAAGACTAGGGAGTGTGGTATTTTTACATTACTAAAACCTCCCCGGTGGCCACCATCCGCACCTTAAGGAGGCAACGGGTCCTCTTAGTAGACCAACCCCGGAGCCCCCACGGTGCAACGCCCGTTACGGCACCTCCCTATAGACACCAACACCAGAGTCCAGGGAAGTTACAAGTGCGTTGCCGGGACCTTTTGGGGATTGTAATTTCATCGACATTGGTATTGTGAAATTTCGTACTCTTGAGTTGCCACATTAGCGCCCATTGCATTCATATTACGTGGATATTGAATGAACTAAATGGTATTGAGTTTGGCTTTGTAATCCGTACTCTGAATGCTATTTTAACAGCTACGATAGGGGTTGTATAGTGTTGACATTGAATAATTATTGAGATTTTATTGGATTGAAATTGCATTGACATTGAGATTGGTTTTAAGAGTAAGCACCCAGGCCTCACAGAAAACCGACGAGAAACAACGCTTGCGTTGTGTTTCATCGTGTGAATGATGTTACCGGAGGCCCAATAACCCCCCCTCCCTCCTCAGTCTCCCCGTATCCCCCACAATCCTTAAATTCCCAATTCCCATAGGCCGGTAACGCACTTGTAACGCCTTTGGTGTTTCAGGTGTCCATGGTCGGCGCCGATTGCTTGCCACCAGGATCACCTGATCACCGTCACGATGTCCACGTGCAGACGGGATCACCGTCGGCTCGTATACTTATATCATAAAAAATGTGTTTGTATTTTCGACTTTATACCTATACGATAGAGGTGAATATCTAATAAAGTTTGACAGACAAAATAGGTTGATTTACCTTCCACTGTACTCATACGTGTAATATGCATATACTAAAACATACATAAAAACAAAAAATATTTAGTTCATTACAATCTTTGCCATGTAATTATAGACCTTATTAAAACTAACTAGATTTATAAGCGTTCTTGCCGAGCGATTAAAGACCTTACCTCTAAGCTAATAAGGTTAAAAAACTCGTCAAGACACTCGCCAAATAATTATAAACCTTAACATTAACTGAATGAGGTTCAGAAACTCACCATTAGCGTTTTTGCCATGCAATTATATACCTTAAGATCAAGTACACTTATTGGTGTTCCAGCCAAGCGCTTAACGACCTTAACACCCAAGTAGATAAGATTTGAATTTAATTTATGACTTATTGATTTACATACTATTATTTACTGTATTTTTTTTTCGATTATTGACGTATAATTTCTATGACTGCCTCGTTGGCCGAGTGGTCGCAAGTGCGACTGCCGGGCAAGCGGTCTCGGGTTCGATTCTCGGGTCGGGCAAAGTATTACTGGGTTTAAAAAAAATTCTCAGTAGTAGCACGGAGTCTGGAAATGTGCCCGGTATAATTATGGCAATAGGCTCACCCCCTTTTACATGGGACTCATAACATAAATAGTGAAAAGTGGGTGTTACTTCTGTGTGCACCTCTGCCTACCCCTTCGGGGATAAAGGCCTGATGTTATGCATATGCAATTTCTATGACTAATTAGTTGATTGATTTATGAATGTGAAAAGATATTTTTGACTCGTACCTACATACATTGACTGATTGTGAATTTCATTAATACGTACAATGGTTTTTTTTAAGGGGGGAAAAACATCGAATGACTTCTCCCGCCTGGGTGAGGCGGGAGGGAGTGTCAGACTCTTATTGACTAAAAACCACCCCGTTCCTTCTCCTGCACGTCGAGCCGGAGCCCCGGTTACCCGTTAGGTTCTCCGCGACTACGTACAATGGTTGAGACATACCCAACATTTGCATGCCCAACGGGTAGAACAAAGAGATACAATATGTAACAAAAATAAATAACACTATAGTCACTAATTATGTACTACACCTCTGTTCAGCAAATAAAGACATTTGATTCTTTTTTTTGCCCCACACTAGGGTTATCCCCTGAGTCGTGGGTGCGTTTACAAACATACAAGTTCACATACACATGACACCCAGACACGGAACAACAATTTGTGGATCACACAAAGTGTTGTTCCGTGCGGGAATCGAACCCGCAACACGTTGCACGGCAGCCAGTTGCCCAGTCACCGCGCCAACCGTGCAGTCAAATCAGATTTGATTTAATTCAGAAACTCACCATTGACCCCATTTTCCTTGATGATAGCTGAAGGTGGTTTATCATCAGGCACTGGAGGCAGGTCCTCCTCATCAGAACTGTCTGTCCTTTGTATTTTGATCTTCGCAACTTCAATGTGTTGTCTGCCATACTGTGAAAAAGAAAAGGAGGGGTTTAAGAAAACATAACATAACATCACGCTTTTTATCCCCGAAGGGATAGGCAGAGGTGCACATTAGACTTAACTCGTCAAGTACCGTCATTATAGGCACAATTATAGAACAATAGGTTGCGGTCACCGGTGACCGCTTGGTGTTTGACAGTTTAATGCCACTGTAAGTACAATG